GCATGTGTTTTTAGAAAAACGAAGAGTTTCAGCCTAGAGACTGGATAATTGTCGGCCAAAAAAAAAAAAAAATACCCGGTTAAATGCTGCAGCTTTTGCTTTTGGTGTTTACTAGTGGCTCCAGAATAATCAAGAGATGTTAGTGGCAGCACATGATCTTGAGAATATATAAAGGACAGATATGATCAGTTTAAACTAACGAAGAAGGAGGCCTGTTCCTGGCTGGTGAACTGGGTAGCTACTGTCCTGCATTCACGTATGGTTGCCCTCTGTCTGTGTGGGTGGACTTTAGAACCATGCAATATTGGCCAGGTCTGCACCAGGGTTTTGCAGTTTTACCTATGTGCTTCAATATGTATACAAGTAAGATCGCATTGCTTAAAGAACGAGGTGTTGGAAGGATATTGGCATTTGCAGTGGATTTTCTTGCACATATGCAGGGGGCAATATAGATATATACTTGTTCTGCTGACTATTACAGATAGACTCAAACTGCTGCAAGTAGTCATACCTAAGTGTAGCCGCAGAATCAGAAGTTTAGCAAATATTTCATGACAATTCTTGTCCAGGTAGTATGATTATCTATGCAAGTGGTTCTGTGTTGAGAGTTATGAGAGAGAAAACAAGTGCATGGGGGTTCATCGAAAAAGCACGTAGATTTTGCTTAGTGCAGCAAAGTCTGACATTTGCTGCTACAGCATCTAGTTTGAGAATTTAGGTCGAGGTAGCCATTGCACACACATGTCGTGATTGTAACTGCCTTACAGCGAACATAGAGAGAGTTGTAGACATGTGTGCTGTGAGCAGATTGGCATGCATCGCTTTCAGAGGTCTTGTGTAGGTCCTGTGTAATTAGCATCCTTTTGATATTTTCTCCAGGGCATGCGGGTATGTTGGGAAAGGAACAATAGATTATCATGGTCTGAAAAAATTGTCTAACAGGGAATCTGTCTGGCCGACACTCAACACTCATGTGAAAGGCGAGACAGGCACACCATAGGACTGCTACTGGTACCATCAGAATTGGAACTCTGCGACTGCTGCTAAGGATGCGAACAGAGCGCTTATGGAAATATGTGATACCATATAGGTTCTAAACTCTGTTCGGCTCGTAGACAACCTGATCTTAGCAGCTAAAGACTCAAGTAAGATTCAGCAATGCTGAAAAGATATATCCTTAGCACCAGGTGAAATAGTAACTAAGATGATACAGAAAACAAAGTCAAGAAAATTGGATAGTTCAAATGTTGCAGGGAATAATGTCATAATAGAAAATCATAAGAAAATATATACACAAAACTAAATCAGGTCGTTGGGTAGACGCAGGAGAATAGTGACATTTAAATGAATAAATTTAAATTCTACCTAGTCTTTTAAATTGACAAAGAATAAACTAGAGTTTTTAAAGAAATTATTAGGTAGCAGGCGACCCAAGCATTTACAAAACAGATAGTTACAAATATTATCAAGTGTCAATTACAGATTTTAGCTGAATGTAAATATTCCTTCTAACCTGACTTCAGATGGACACAACTAGAATCAAGATATTAAAATGATATTACCCATTTGATAAAGGAGAAATAATCGTTTATGACTATTCTTAATAGCCTTTATCAGTTGCCTCAAGGCTGTAGAAAACATATTATGGTCATTTATGACGACTGCCACGAGACGATGGTGTCACGTGCCTTTATTAGGGTTTCCTCTGTTAATTAAAAACACTCTAAAGTGATTTACTGTTGATATGGCGGCTCGTATTGGTCTAGGCGGTCTCCTCAGCTCCAACAACCATACAACATCACTTCAGAGTTAAGGCGACTCAAGTGTTTGGCTCCACAGAATTTCCAAAGATCTTCCTTGGGAAGACTTCCTCACCACTTGCTGGCCCCCAGACTGGATATGGACTCAATAACAGGCAAACAAACACAGTATTAACAGGAATTTGATCAAAGACAAATACACACAGAAACTTAACGAAAGTGAACTGAAATACCAGACACTAACCAAGATTTTTGACTTCTTAGAAGATCTGAACATCAAGGACGATTTGCTAATAAACAGCATCCTTTCTCGAAAGCTGAAATATTTTGGTCATATCAAGTGCTACGATGGATTGGAAAAAATCATAACAGAAGGCATGGTACCAGGAAGGAGGGTCAGGGGCCGACCGACACGAAAATGGGCACAGGATATAAGTGACTCCTTGAGTGTGAAAGTGCATGAGGCGGGAGAATGGGTGAGAGACCGTTTCTTTTATGTAGACTGTGATGACAGAGACGTTCTGCAAAGGTCCTGATACATGATGATTAAGCAAGATAAGTCCCATATAACAAAGCATGATGTAAAATGTTCCAACAATTATATATATATATATATATATATATATATATATATATATATATATATATATATATATATATATATATATATATAAGTAATATCAGTGGAATGATCTACCAGATAAAAAAAAAAACCATCAAATAGTATGACATGAACAATGTCTAGTCAGGAATGACTATTCGCCTGACTTGAAGTCACTGCTGTGGGTCATCATCGCATTGAAGATGAATAAA